GCAACAGTGAAAAACTCATCACACCAGCAATCATGCCATAGGAACTCCCTATGGTCAACTCCCAAGTCAACTCCCAAGCATCTGCCAGAGAAATTCAAATGAAATTCTCAAGCATGCTGAGAATAAAGTGGAAAAACAGAAGCCTTTTTCCCTGGGGAAATGTTTTTACTGAATTAGGCCAATTCTTGGGTATGGGCAAAATCCATTAAGAGAGCCAACGAATTGGATTTACAGAACACACTGAACTACTTGGAAACCTAGCCAGGGTTAACAGCCACTGAACTGGCTAAGCGGATTTGACGAATCCAGCCACCAAGTCTGAAAACTCCTGGGCTGTAAGGCCAAAATGCATGCTTCCCCGCAGAGGGTGTGTGTGTGTGTGTGTGTGAATTTTGCACAGCCTGGAAAGGTATCCAAGACAGCAGGCGTGTTTCACTTCACCAGGACGTTGACTGTCTTCTTTCCTATTTAGATGTCCCCAGACAGCTTCAGGGATCAAACGCCTCTCTACTTACCCCCGCTAAAGAGGTTGCCGAAGGAGCTTGTAGGGCCAGAAATAAGGAAGCTGAAAAGCCCCACCCATCTCAGGTACCACCTGCTACCGGCCGCGCATAGCGCTTTCTCTTACCTGCTAAAGCAACTTAACAGGGGACAAGGAACACCAAAGAGAGCATCATTTAATGCACCAAATGTAGGTCGCAAAACGAAAGGAGGAAGCCCCACGTGGCCCCGGGTGTCGGTCCTTCTAGGTAGACTAGAGAACCAGCATCGCAAGGGTGACAAGGACGCTGCTTTCTTCTTGTAGGGTATGATGACCGAATCTTGAACGTCGTCATTTTCCCCCTCCGCAGTTCACCCGTTCCTGCACCCAGGTTATCTTTAAAGGTTTGCCTTTAAATGGAGGTCAGGCAAATTAAGGGGAAATCAGGTCATCTGTAGGTGATGAACAAAACGGCCACATCTTAGGATTAGAACCAGATGCCAGATGGGTGAATCTGACTCTCAGGATTCTCAGGATTAGAATTTGGAAAGTGAATCTCAGGATTAGAATTTGAGCTCGTCCCCAGAAACTCAACGCAAGGAGACCCAGGACTGACGGGCTGAGATTCTTTTTCATGCTACTCAAAGTCAAATTGTGGGGTTTGCTGTGCCAGCCCTTTGAGGTAGGCAGGTCAGGAAACAGACAGGACAAGAGCTTTCGGAGTACTACTTTTTTGTTGTAGGGTATAATCACAGAACTTGGAAAACCAGCCAGCGTTGCCTTCTGCCCCCTCTTATACCAAACAGAATCAAGGGGGGTTACGTTGAGTTTCCTTCTCACACTTTCCTGTGAAATTCATTTCCCTGAATTATCGTTCACTTTCTCTGAAAGGCTCCAGTGTACATTCAGCAAGGCTGTCTCTGCGTTCCTCTGCACCAGGCGAGGAGAACTGAGGCTGAGATCTCTTGGGAGATCATGGAATCATTTTGCAGCACGGATTCATTTATATTCACAGGCTGCCTTTCTGGGTAGAAATCTGGCAGCATTTTGCAGCGGGCGTCATGTAGAAAAATGGATTATAACCGGAATTTCTAACAGGAGTAATGGGGCAGCCACAGGAGTGGTTAAAAAAAACCAAGATGGCAGCTGCAACCATGTGGTCAAAGCCACACCCCTTTTTATGTGCAACTGGGAATTGCAGTCTACACATCTTCGTGCTAGCTGGGGAATTCTGGGAGTGGAAGTCCACGCATCCTAATGCTGCTTTTTATTGTAGTAAGGTAAAATAACAGAATCCTGAAAGCTTGCACAATTCTCTCTCTCTTTCTCTCATTTTATACCAAACAAAATCAAAGTGGGGTTATTTTGAGTTTATTTCTCATGCTGTCCTCTTTTCTCCGTCCCCCTTAATGGCTCACTCATTCCTTTCTCATTCCCAAGGCCAGGTCTCCAGGGAGCGTCCCCAAGTCATCAAAAGTCAAGTTTCCTTGAGGAAACCCTTGCTTTTCCCTTCCCTTTCAGATATATTAACATAGTTGTTTCTAAGAAGTAGTTCCTTCATCTCCTCATATGTTTTCCTGGGCAGAAATGCCAGATATGGACAATTTAAAAAATATTTCCCTTAGAGAGATCTTTGGTTAATCTCTGGCATTCTTCTGTTGTCGAAGTTGGGATTTCTGGTCATGTAAAAAGGTGGCCACGTTCTAACAAACTTATCCCATCTTCCAACAGGTTTGCCAACAAGAACGATTTCAAAGGTGAAGCCCGTTTTTCGAAAAATTACGCTGAAAGGCGTTTGCAAAGGATGTATCCCCACTTACGGGTTCCAAGACAGGGTAAGATTTGGCCTCTTAATGGGGAAGGGATATTTCCTTTAGGAACAGGGGACTCGTGCTTGGGGGACGGGGAGTGGCGAGGAATCCCTTCGCAGCTTTAATCTTGCCAATACCGGTTAAAAGAGGAAAAAGGAATTTTAGCCAGCTGAGGGCTGCGCTTTAGTGGGTTCGTCACCTCAGTGGGCAGTGCAAGCAAACCAAATGGGCCGAATCAGGATTTTCCAGGGAGTTAGCTTCTCAGCACTTCCTTCAATGGCTTAAGCTTTTCTAAGGTTTAAGCTATCACTTGATTTTGTTTCCCGGTGGGAATGGCATCACCATATTTGGACAGAATGATTGAAGGGCAGGCCAGAATGATGAGATAGTAACCCACCCCAAGTCAAACAATCTCAGGGAGCAGGTGACGGGCTGAGATAGATAGATAGATAGATAGATAGATAGATAGATAGATAGATAGATAGATAGATAGATAGAGACAGAATCTTCTGAATAGCATTCAAGGTATAGTTTTGAGGCTGTAAGTAGGCAGCCCATGGGGGGTAGTAGCGTTGGACTAGGAGTGGAGAAATCCAGGTTCTCAACCACAGAGGCTGTCTTGGGGCATATCACTTTCTCTCAGCCCATCCTATCTCACAGGGTGGTTGTTGTGGGGAAAAACAAGATGCGGGACTATTCCATAACCTGCCTTGAGTTCCTGAATGCACGTGGGATATAGACCTCATAAGTAAACGAGTATTCTAAAAATGCACCTTTCCTACATGAATCTATGCCTCCAGAGGTCAATTGTGGGTGTAGTTCCTGACCTAACTGGGACTTCTAGAAGCTTCTAGATACCCGTTACATATCTTTGAGGAACAACATACGTAGCATACTCACCTTTATGTTTGCCTGGTTTTGCTTCCAGATCAACCAAAAAAGCAGCTACTTCCAAGTGTGCATGGGTGGTCTCCCTCAAAGATCCAGTGGGAGCCTCTGACCCTTTCATGCCTGACAGAAATGAAGCCCACGCATACTGTGCCTGGAGAGGACGGCTTTAGGTATGGGAGAGCTCCTCTCTGGATTGTAAATAACTCAATGGTATCAAATTCTCCCCAGTAAAATCTTTTGATGACTCGCTGTATTCTGGAGGGTTGCTCCTCTGTGACGTGGAGCCTTCGATTCCCACAACTGATGTTGACATCTTAGGAGATGGGCTTCGCCACAAATGGAGCACGATATCTCAAGTGAAGGGGGACTCTGAGAAATAGCCATTCCTGCTCCCGTTTCTGACTCTGGTCTGATGGAACTTTCTTGGACTTTGCTGTCGATTTTCCCACCAAGCAGAGAAACTGTCCTACATTTTTCACCGTAGAGAATTTGCTTTTGAAATTCTTTCAGGGCAGAGGAGAATTTGGGTGAAATTCTCACGGTTCTTGCCTTAGTTGGCTAGAAGGGGGACCGAAAGGGGTACGAGCGCTCCGTTCTTCACTGTACGATCTTTCTCTAGAGACCCACAGGTGTACATTCATGCTCCTGCAGTCAGGATGGGCCATCTGAGTTTGAACAGAACCACATTTCCCAGCACAAAACTGACTCATGTTTTATTTGGGGAGGCAATGCAATGGATGTCCGTGTTGGAAGAAACACATTTAGCAGGCCATCAAGTTTCCATGGACTGAACTGACTTGCTCAACAATCGTCACTTAAGCAAGCAGTTAAACTGTGTTAAGAGCTCACTGTAATCATAGTTGGATGTATGGCCAATGAGGTGTTTCATGCAGTCTCCCCTCCCACCTCTTTTTTAGAGTTAAAATCGCACTCTGGCAGTTTTCCCCATCAGATGCCCTTCAACTGTATTGGCCTAAAATCCCTCAACCAGGATGATGGTCATTCCTGCCGTATCGGCTTTCTAGCTAATCCTGAAGGGCATTCACACCAGATGCGGGATTTTGCTGGGGCTGTGGCACTGACGAGCAACTATACAGAGCGGGAGTTGCCTCCCCCACATTCGATGTGTTTAACCTAGACAAGGGGATGCTTTAACATAGATTCCGATCCCAAGAAGGGGCATGGTGGTCAGTTAACCATAGACAATTATGAGATCAATTCATCTTGGACAAGAGATGCTATATTAATTTGGCTGAAAGGCAGGAGTATCTACACGCGTGTGTGCACATATGTGCGCAAAAAAAATCAGGAGAGCGGCCATGCACACGCAATCACACACCCACCCCTCTCTTAGGTGCACTGCGTCTGATTGTATGGTCACAGCTGCCATTCTTACTGTTTTGACTGCCTCCCTGGCAGACGCCCCTGCCAAGGAGGGGAAGGATAATCAGTATGTTCCTTACAGGGTTGGCTCAAAATGCACCCACTTCTTTAAAAGTGGTTTAGCTAATAGTTCAGTAAATCCAACTGTAATGATTTGGAAGTCTTTTCCGTTGGGGTGAAGAGCTGCCTACCTGTCTCCTCTTCCCTCCCCTGAAAATTAAGTTGACAACCTACCGCGGGAAGAAATACCACCACAACGCCTAGATTGCAGAGTTTACTTTGTTAGGTGTCTAGAAAGGAAAGAACAAGCCAGGACGTACAATGTTGGCTGGCCCAGAAGTGCATTTTTCTCAGCTAAGGGGCTAAGGGGCTAAGGTTCTCCACGCGCAGAATCGAATACATCCTCAGAATAAAGAAGGTTTCCTTCTAGATCTTCAGTATTCTTGGTCATCTTCTGCATCAGAGCCGTAAGTGTCAGAATCCCTCCCAACTTCTTCATAATCCTTCTCCAGGGCTGCCAGGTCTTCCCGGGCTTCGGCAAACTCGCCTTCTTCCATGCCCTCCCCCACGTACCAGTGCACAAAAGCCCGCTTGGCGTACATGAGGTCGAACTTGTGGTCCAGCCGGGCCCAGGCCTCGGCAATCGCCGTGGTGTTGCTCAGCATGCAGACGGCCCGCTGCACCTTTGCCAGGTCCCCTCCGGGCACCACCGTGGGGGGCTGGTAGTTGATGCCTACCTTGAAGCCGGTTGGGCACCAGTCAACAAACTGGATGGATCTCCTGGTCTTAATGGCTGCAATTGCTGCGTTGACGTCCTTCGGCACAACGTCTCCCCGGTACAAGAGGCAACAAGCCATGTATTTGCCCCGGCGAGGGTCGCACTTCACCATCTGGTTGGAGAACTCAAAGCAGGTGTTGGTGATCTCTGGCACAGAGAGCTGCTCGTGGTAGGCCTTTTCAGCTGAGATGATTGGAGCGTAGGTGGTCAAGGGGAAGTGGATGCGGGGGTATGGCACCAGGTTGGTCTGGAATTCTGTGAGGTCAACATTCAAAGCTCCATCGAATCTTAAGGAAGCTGTAATGGAGGACACAATCTGTCCAATTAACCGGTTGAGGTTGAGGTAGGTGGGCTGCTCAACGTTCAGATTTCGGTTGCAGATGTCATAGATGGCTTCATTGTCCACCATGAAGGAGCAGTCTGAGTGCTCCAGGGTGGTGTGAGTAGTCAAGATGGAGTTGTAGGGCTCCACCACGGCAGTAGAAATCCGTGGAGCAGGATATACTGAGAACTCAAGCTTGGCTTTCTTCCCGAAATCCACTGAAAGCCTTTCCATCAGGAGAGACGTGAATCCTGACCCTGTGCCTCCTCCAAAGCTATGGAAGAGCAGAAAACCTTGGAGGCCACTGCACTGCTCTGCCTGAAAGAGAAGGGATTAGCTTTAGCTCCCTGTAGGACATTGGCATGAAATATCGCATTTGGGACAAGTGGTAGGGAAAAGCTTGGTATGGAAACACATCAGTGGGAGAAGCTCATGGCTGTAGGATTTCAGTAAAAACCACACATTCTGGTAAGTATGCAGAACCAGTATGAAGTCCTTGGGGTTTTCTGAGGTTGGTTGTTTTCTTGCAAATGTTTCATTTGCAAGAAAACAACC